GGGGGAGGTTTCATCAAAAGCAAGCCTAAAGAACCGGCATCAAGAGTGTACCAAGACAAATTTCTCCCTGTTAGGTGGTTAAAGATTGACATCGTCATTGTCATAACTCAATAATTATGCCCAAAAATTGACGAGCGCCTGATTCCGCCACGTCGTGACACGACACACATATTGTATTGAATGTTTGAAGCCATCTGATGCTGCTGTAGAAGTGCTTACTTACAGCTTACCTGGTTCTTGACCTACCATAGCCTTTGCATTGCTTTGTTACCGCTCATCATGCAATATAATATAAAGGGTTTATTTTGTATATTAAGATAATGTGAAAACTGCCCCCTGCTGTTACAAAGGCAGACATGATCGATGATGTTTAGTTTCGCTACTTTGAGAGAGTTTGAGAGATCTAGCATCAGGTCAATGCTGCCAATTTTTTAATTTTTTTAACATCATTTTTATTTTATTTTATTTCATGGTCAAGAATGTCTTTGTTTTAATCCATTGCGTGGCAGAGTCATGGTGGTTATATAAGTTTTGTTTTATATATATTGTGTAAATCTGTCTATTTTTGGTCTTGTTTAATGCCTTTGTTCTTATTATTCATCTATACAACTTGATAAAATTTTCAATATAGGCATGCAGAACAATTAGCTTTCTTCACCTTATTGTCAAAATACAAGAAACAATTAGAGCTGGTAGGAAAATGTTTCACAATGAGAGCCGATATTTTACATCGTCATACCTTGAAATTAAATTTAGCTTTGTTGAGCTGGAGTTACGAATATTTAAGTAGGTACCTAAAAAACTAAGATTGAGTTTTGTTTCCCTTTAACCTGAAAACTTCATTGATATTTAGAATTCGTCCTGAAATGTAATTAGAAATTGAAAATGTTTTGAGTCTTTAAAGTAATGATGAAGTCTGTGACTGTTTTTAGGCAGTATAGTGGCCTCGCTCATATGACCTTATGCAGTTGCGAGCGCCGTAAAACTCTTACGAAAGCAAAGCAGTTTAGTGGGAAGTTGAGTACCTGTGCCAGGTTTTTATTTCTTTCCTGTTCATCCATTATTTCTGTCTGTCGTCTTCCTTTGTTTCAATCTTTTTTTTTCTAAGCTCAACTGTATTTACCTACATCGTGTGAACATCTTTAAAACTTGAAGTAAGTGAAGAGCAAAAAAGTGATATAATAATATGTATAAAGTACTGAATAAGAGAAAATGTGTGTGTGTATGAGCGTGCGTGCGT